GCACTGGGAGCAGCCCCTGGAGCCAAGGGACAAAGGGACAGGGACAGGCCACGTGCGCAGGGTGGCTGAGGGACAGCTGGGGACCAGGAGACACGGCCCCTGTTCCCTGTGGTGGCACGGCAGGGACTGGGACTGGGATGGGATGGGGACTGGAATTGGGGATTGGGATGGGACTGGGTTTGGGATGGGGATGGGGACTGGAATTGGGGATTGGGATGGGGACGGGGTTTGGGATGGGGATGGGGTTTGGGATTGGGATGGGGATGGCTGGAGCTGCCCCACAGAGCTGTTGGTGGCCACGACCCGACCCCAGGGCCAGCCAGGGACCCCAAAGCCACCACCCCAACCCCAACAACGCTCGGGGGTCCCCAGGCTGGAGCAGCCACGGGAACAGCCCTGGGTCCCCCCGGGCAGGCAGAGGAGAGGGAAAACAGTGAGACCCTGGGGTTGGGCTGTGCCCCAATCCCCCCAGATGTGCCCCAGTCCCCCCAGATGTGCCCCAGTCCCCCCAGATGTGCCCTACAGTGTGTTCACCCCCATTTCTGCACAACCAGAAACCCCATCAGCTGCTTGTCCTGCCCCTTCCCATTCTGGGACCCCCACGGCAGGATCCCCCTCCCCATCCCGTGTCCCCATCCTGTGTCCCCATCCCAGTTTCCCATCCCGTGTCCCCACCCCGTGTCCTCATCCCAGTTTCCCATCCCACTGTCCCCATCCCAGTTTCCCATCCCGTGTCCCCATCCCAGATCCCCATCCAGTTTCCCATCCCAGTTTCCCATCCCAGTTTCCCATCCCAGTTTCCCATCCCGTGTCCCCATCCCATGTCCCCATCCTGTGTCCCCATCCCACTGTCCCCATCCCGTGTCCCCATCCCGTGTCCCCCCCCGGGCCGCCCCTCCCGGTGCCGTGGGGCCGCGCTCAGCCCACGAGGCAGCCGCGTTTCGGTGGCGGCGGCGGCGGAGCCGTCCCTGCCGGGATGATGAAAACCAGGAGAGTTCTCCCCGGGGCCAGGGCGGAGCTCGCTGCGCCCTCCGCCCGGCCGGGCGCTCGGCAGGCTCGCCGGGAGCTGCGGGCTCCCACGCGCCAGCCCCGTCCCGGCTCCGCGGGGCCACCTGCGCCTTTTCCCGTGGGATTTGGGGGCCTGGGGACCCCCGCCCGTGCCCACCGGGGTCCCCACGGGGCTGCGGTGGCCGGCGGGCGGGCGCGGGGGGTGGAAATGGGGACGCGACGCGCCGGTGATTAAGTGGCTCCACTGGCCGCGGTGTTGTCACCCGGCAGCTGCCGGGTTTGTCCCTCCCGGCAGCCTCGGGGGGACACGGGGCACAGGGGGGTTGGACACCCCCGGCCGAGCGGGACGGGCTCAGCCAGCGCCTCCCGGGCGGTTTTGGGTTGCCCCAAATCCGTCGGGGTCACGGTGGGTCCTGAGTCCTCTCTCTGCTGACCCCAAAATTGTCCCCTGTGTCCGCCCCCGTCCCACCGGTGCCACGGCGCAGAAGCGAGGGGCAATGGGGGGCACCGAGCCCCCCCACGGGGACAGGTGACATCCCCGCGGGCAGGAGCAGGTGGCCCCCCCCGTGTGTCCCCCCCGGCGCGGGCACACGGAGCGGGGGTCGCCGCGGGGGTGGCAGCAGGAGGGCGGCCACCCCCGTGTGTCACCCCTTGATGCGGGGACAGGTCCGGGGGTCCCCGCGGGGGCGGCAGGAGGGGAGGGCGGCCACCTGTGTGTCACCGACAGGCGAGGGGGGACAGCTGCGGTGCCTGGAGCGGGGGTGGGGACAGAAGGGGCGCCCGGGGGTCCCCAGGACGGGGGGGTGGCAGGAGGAGGCGGCCACGGGCGCGGGAGGGAGGCGGTTGTTGCTTTCTTCTTTAATTACCCCCCTGTTTGCGGTGTCTGCTGCGAACTTCCCGTCCCCTCCCTCCGCTTTCATCCGCCGGATCCCGAGACCGGAGCCGGCTCCTGTCAAGCGGCGGGGCCGCGGCTCTGCCTCCAAGGGTTAAAATCACCGGGCCGGGGGTGGAGCTGGGCGGGGGGGCGGAGGGAAGAGCCGGCCGCCGGGCTGGGACCCGGCCATTCCTGCTCGCCCGGCCCAGTGGGTGCCCGGTCCCTGGGGAGCCGCGCGGGTCCCTCGGGGTCCCCTCGGGAAGCAGCGCCCGCGCCGATGAGGACGGGCCCGCCGCGACCTCGCTGCCGCTAGAGCCGTACGTACCCCCGGCGCTGCGACCCCCGGGGATCTTGCTGCCCTGACCGACGGCAGGGACGCGGCCGCGGCCGCTGCGGCCCCCGGCAAGTCGCTGCTCGCCACCCCGCCGCGTCCGCTGGCCACCGAGCCCGGGGCTCCCTCCCCGCCGCGGGTCCCCTCGCTCCCAGCGCCAGCGCGACCCCCTCCCCTCGGGACCGCCGCTCTTCCCGTGGCTCTGAGACCCCTCGCGTGGTGCCGAGTCCTGCGGGGGGCTGGATGGGCTGGACCCCCCCCGCCCGCCGCGCCGGGAACGGCGCGGCTCCGTTCCCTCCCAAAAAATCCGCGGGGAGCTCCGCCGCGGTTCGGGGCGGACAATCCCGAACCCACCGCAGCCCCCGACCCCGCAGCGTCCCCCGGGCATCCCCCGGGACTCGCGGCATCGCCCCCAAAGCCGCGGCATCCCCCGAGCCCGGCCCAGCCGCGCCCCCGTCCCCCCCGTCGGGGCTGCCGGTGCTGGGGGCAGCGGCGCCCGCCCGGCCCCGCCGCGGGGCGAGGCACCGGCGGAGCTGGGAGACGGGGCCGGGCCGCCTCTGCCCAGCCCGGGCCGTGACTCACGGGACGCTTCAGCCGCCGCTGCCTCAGTTTCCCTGCGGTGAAATGGCCAACGCGTCGCTGAGCCCCGCCAGGGAGGGAGGGAGGACGCTGGGGGCCCCTGGGGATTTTTGTCATCATTCCCGGATGGAAAAATGTCCTGGGAGGCTCCGTGCCCGGCTGGGGCAGGCCCGTGCAGGGGGGTTCTCCCAGCGCTCCCCCCAGCCCGGTCGTGGCGCTTCTCCCCGGTTTGGGGCTGGGCTGGGGGATGGTGCCGCTGCTCACGGTGGGGCCGCACTGGGGGTCGGTGGGACCCCCGGGCCGGCGGGGATCGTTGGGATTGGGGTGTTCCAGCAGAGCCCCGTGCTGGATCCGATGGGGTGGGAGCGACCCCGGAGCGCCCGGAGGGTCCCTCCCCTCCCGAGGGGGCTCGGGGGGGCTGGGGATGTCCCTCAGTCCCCAAATCTGGGGGTCCCGTCCGTGGCAGCAGCCCGAGGGCCCGTGCCGGGCTGGCACCGCGGCGCTTTGGGGGTTTGAGCCCAGTTTGGAGCTGGGTCGGGGGGCTCAGGACCCCACTGAGCACCACGCGGGTGGCAGCGATGGCGCCCGGCAGTGCAGCCCCCTCCGAGCCCACTCGTGTCCCCAGGAGGCAGGGACAGTCCCCAGGGTCGGGGTGGGCACAGCTGAGCCCCCACGGGGCAGCAGGACCCCAAAATCTGCTCAGCTGCCACCCCGGGGGGCTCATCCTGCCACCAGCTCGAGCCGAGCTCCCACCCCTGTCGGCAGCACAGGTACAGGTGGGTCCCGTCGGGGGGGGATTTTGGGACCCTCCCCAAACTCCCACCCCGATCCTTGGGGTCCCCCCGCCTGCCCGGGTGACGCCTGGCACGGGAAATCGGTGTCCCCAGGCAGCCGCGGGGTCCCCAGCATTGTGGGGACCTGGGAATCGCAGCGCTGGCATCGGGGGGCACTGGGGGTCCGTTCGGGGGATCCCCCACCCCAAATCATCCAGCACCCCCCAGGCGTGTCCCTAAGGCTCTGTCCCTGTCCCGCGCGGGCCGGGGGGTGGCGGGGACAAGGGGATGGCGACGAGAGCGGCCCGAGGGAGGGGGTTCGGGGAGGGGGGGTCTCGGCCGCCCCTCAGCGCGGCGCCGCTGGGAAGCCGGGGGGCGGGGGGCGGTGGCGGCAGGTGGATTTCGACACCGGGGTGGGGCCCGTCCCCAGCCCCGTGGGGTTTGCGCGGCTCCCGCTGAGTCACGGCCGCCCTGCTGGAGGCTGCGGCCGCCCGGGGGTCTGGGGGTGCCCCGGGGGTGCCCCGGGGGTGCCCCGGGGGAAGCCTGCCCGAGCCCGGCTTCAAAGCGCTGCCGGGGGCCCGGCCCGCGGCTCCGCTGCCTCACCCCGCTGCCAGCCAGCCCGGGGGTGCAGCCCCCCCAAAAAAAAACAGCCGGGGGGCTCCCGGCTGGGCCTGGCCTTGGGGCGGCAAGAGGGGGGGAGGCTTTCCCAGCCCGGCTGGGACGCGGGAGAGCCGGGTTGGCCCCGTGGGTGCCGTGTCCCCCGTGGGTGCCGTGTCCCCCCGTGGGTGCCGTGTCCCCCCGTGGGTGCCGTGTCCCCCCGTGGGTGCCGTGTCCCCCCGTGGGTGCCGTGTCCCCCCGTGGGTGCCGTGTCCCCCCGTGGGTGCCGTGTCCCCCCGTGGGTGCCGTGTCCCCCCGTGGGTGCCGTGTCCCCCGTGGGTGCCGTGTCCCCTCGTGGGGGCCGTGTCCCCCGTGGGTGCCGTGTCCCCCCAGGGGTGCCGTGTCCCCTCCATGGGTTTGGGGATGCCACCTGCATCCCCTTGGGGACCCGGGCAGTGTTGGGGGGCACAGTCGGGGAGGTGGCCAAGCAGATGTTGGAGGTTTCCTCGGATTTTGGAATCAGGCACCGACCCCTCCGGGCTGCAGACGCGGCCCGCGGGCACCAGGGGGGCTGGCACAGGGTCCGAGGGGGCGGGGACGGCCGTAAGGAGTGCCCCCCCCGGCTGGTGCCACCATCCCGGTGTCACGGCGGTGCCGCAGAGCAGCGCAGCCGCCTCGGTGGGGGCTCAGCGACCCCCAAACCGCGGCTGCCGGGCGCTGCAGACGCCGCCGGTGCCGGTGCCGGTGCCGGTGAGCGCAGGGACGGGGGGAGCGGAGCCGCGCCCCCCCCTCCTCTCAGAGCTCTTCTCCCCCTCCCCGCCCCGCTTGGCCCCGCAGGTCTGTGCGCGCCGCCGCCCCGCAATGCTGACGGCGGTCTGCGGCTCCCTGGGATCGCAGCCCTCGGACGCGCCCCGCGCCTCCCCGACCCACCTGGACCTGCAGCCGCTCCAGCCCTTCCAGCCGCACGGCCCCGCCGCTCCCGGGGCCCCCGACTTCGCCTCGCCGCTGCCCCCGCCCGAGCTGCCGCTACCGGGGCCCGACGACGCCGCGTTCGCCGCCGCCGCCGCCGCCGGCGCCTACGAGCCCCATGGCCCCCCGAGGTTAGAGCTGCCCCCCGACGGCCCCGCCGCCCCCGGAGCCTACGCCAAGCTGCTGCCGGCCGCCCCGGACATGGCGCATCCCTACGAGCCGTGGTTCCGGCCCCCGCACCCCGGAGCCCCCGGCGAGGAGGGCGGAGGCGTCAACTGGTGGGACCTCCACGCCGGAGCCAGCTGGATGGAGCTGCCCCCCGGGCAGGGCGGGGGGCTGCAGGTGCCCGCGCACCCCGGGCTGCCCGCGGGGCTGGGCGGGTACGGCGGGGGCGAGCACCAGCTCTGCGCGCCCCCCGCCCACCTGCTGCCCCCGGGGCAGGCGGCGTGCCGCTGCCCCAACTGCCAGGAGGCCGAGAGGGGGGGTCCGTGCCCCGAGGGGGCGAAGCGCAAGCACCTGCACAACTGCCACATTCCCGGCTGCGGGAAGGCGTACGCCAAGACCTCGCACCTGAAAGCCCACCTGCGCTGGCACAGCGGCGACCGGCCCTTCGTGTGCAACTGGCTCTTCTGCGGCAAGCGCTTCACCCGCTCCGACGAGCTGCAGCGGCACCTCCAGACCCACACGGGCGCCAAGAAATTCTCCTGCCCCGTCTGCGGCCGCGTCTTCATGCGCAGCGACCACCTGGGCAAGCACATGAAGACGCACGACGGGGGCAAGGACGGGCCCGAGCCCGAGGGCAAAGCCGGGGACCCGTCGGCCGCCAAGGGAGGCAAGAGGGAGCCCGAGGGGGGCACGGCCGCCCCCACAAACTGAGCCGCTGAGCCCCGGGGTGGGGGGGCGCGGATGGCCGGGGGGACCCTTCGGGGCCGGTCTCCGGAGGGATTGGGGCCGGGGGGTGGGCGCAGGGCTGGCACCTTGTGCTGGGGGCGGCGGCGAGGCCGGGCGTTCTTTATTGCAATGTATTTCCACAGCTTGTGAAATAACTTCTCATGAATTTTTCTATTTTCTCTATTTCAAAACAGAAACTTTTTTTTCGGGAGGCTGCTGGCAGGCGGCGGGGCTGTTTGGGAGGAACATCAATGGGAGCCGAAGGAGCAGGAGCTGCCCGGGCACGTCCAGCCCAAAGGGGAGGAAGGAGAAGGAGAAAGGGAGAGAGGAGAGGAGAGGAGAAACCCGCGAGCCTCGGCTCGGGGAGGGCGGCCGCAGCCCCCCGGCGCCCACCCCACGGTCCCCTCCCAACTGTGGCACCCCGGGCTCAGCCCCCACCCGTGCCAGCCCCGTTCTCCCGTCACCCACGAGGCGTTGGCACAGCCACCCACGGGCGACACGCGGGGGGGGGTCGGGGGCTGGCGACATCCCCCCGCCCCAGCTGGGGACGCTGAGCTGGCGGGGGTCCCCCCGCACTCGGAGCCCCGCTTTGTCTGTGAGGCTCGTGGGCGCAAAACCCATTTTTGGCCTGAATCGTGGCTAAAACGGAGAGAAAGGGAAGAAAAAAAAAGAAATCCTGCGCGAAAGTGAGCCGTGGGGAGCTCGGGGGGCTGCGGGGGCCGCGGCGGGCGGTTGCCCAAGCGCACACCTGCAGCTTTCCCACGCCCACCGCCGCGGCCCCGGGCGGGAAGCACCGGGGCGGCCGCGGGCCCGGGAGAGCCGGGACGGCCGCATTCCTCCGGCCTGGCACGGCCGCGCTGCCCGCCCGCCGCCCCGAGACCCCCGCCCCTCCGCAGCCGTCCCCCCGTCCCCTCCGGGACCCCGGGTCCCCTCCGTGCATGCTGCCTGTCCCCCCGTGGCCCCGTAGCCGTCCCTCCCCGGGATCCCGTCATTCCAGGGAATTCTGCCTGGCCCCCTGCATGCTGCCCGTCCCCCCGGGGACCCCAGAGCTGTCCCTTCCCGGGTCCCTGCGCTCCCGGGACACCCCGGGCCTTCCCCCAGCAGGGACCCCGTAGTTTTCCTCCCCCTGTCCCCGGGGCACCCCGTGTCTGTCCCACGCCCCTGGCCGGGGGTCCGTGAGTCTCGGTTTTTTGGATCTTTTGGGGTCTTACACCCCGATTTTGGCAGAACCCCTCGGACGCAGAAGGAGAGGCTAGAGCCGGGACCTGGGGAGGGGGGTTTGGGGGGGCCCCGAGGCCTTCGGTTTTGAGTGTTTTATTGTTATTATTAATTATTAATTATTAATTATTATTAATTATTATTAATTATTATTATTTTATTAAGGTGAAGCCAGGCTTTGCCGCTCGGGCAGAGTGGATGTCCCAGGCCGTGGGCTGTGCGGATGGGGAGGGCTCGGACCCCTCCGAGGGTCCCGTCCCTGTCCCCGCCGCTGTCCCTGTCCCCAGGGATGCTGAGGGGCTGGCAGCAGCCCCCCCGCGCCGTGGGGCAGGGGCGAGCCGTGGGGCTGGGACCCCCCAGCACGAGGTGAAGTCTCGCTGGGGGGGGTCTGCGAGGAGGTGACCCCAGCCCCAGCACGGCCACCGCTGTCCCCCCGCAGGACTCGGGTGACCTGGGCTGTCCGCAGCTCTCGAAGGACGTCCCCGACTCCGGAATTTGCCTTTTCCAGCACAAAATTCCCCCTCGGTTTCCCTCGGTGGGACCCCAGGGGGGCTCAGGACCCTCCCCGGTGTCCCACAGCGTGGCACCAACGGGACTTCAGCGGCCGAGCCCGGCTCCAGCCCCACCTGGGGGGGCTCCGGCCTTTTGGGGACCCCTTGCTGCAGCCGCCGATTGGGGGGGGGGGGGGGGGGGGGGGGGGGGCTGCACCAGGGGCACCCCACGGGTGGGCTGGGGAGGTCCCACGGCCACGCCGGGACTCGGGGCTCAGCCTCAGCGAGCTGTCCCCGCCTGGGGGGCTGCGAGGGGGGCCCAGGTGCGCTCAGCCCCCCCAGGCGCGCTCAGCCCCCCCAGGCGCGCTCAGCCCCCGCAGCCCCGGGGCTCTGCCTGCCGCGATGGGGCAATGAAGGCTGTAAAACCGGGTGGGGAGGGACGGCGGCCGGGAAACCAGTCCAGCCTGCTGCGGCGTGGGGATCCCGGCCCTCGCCCCGAAGCGCGTCCCCCACCCACCCCCGGGCCGCCTCCCGGGGCAGGGAGGGACCGGCCCGGCCGGGGCCCCGGGCTGGGGGCGGCTGCGGGGGGGAAGGAGCGGGGCGGCCCCGGGGGTGCCCCCCGCCCGGCGAGGGGAGCGTTTGTGCTGTGAAGAGGCTGCGGGGCTCTGGGGTTTGGGTTTTGTACTGGAATAAACGCCGCGTGTTTTCCACGCTCCGGCTCTCCGGCTCCATCTCTGCCCAAGGACGCGGGGGTCCCGCGCCCTGACCCCGAATTTTCACTGCCAAATGATTCAGGGGTTCGGCAAGTCGACCCCAAATCAATCTTGTCAAGGGATTCAGGCATCCCGACCCCAAATCTGCCCTGCCAAGGGGCTCAGGGGTCCGGAATCCCGACCCCAAATCTGCCCTGCCAAGGGGCTCAGGGGTCCACCACGGGTGGGCTGGGGAGGTCCCACGGCCACGCCGGGACTCGGGGCTCAGCCTCAGCGAGCTGTCCCCGCCTGGGGGGCTGCGAGGGGGGCCCAGGTGCGCTCAGCCCCCCCAGGCGCGCTCAGCCCCCCCAGGCGCGCTCAGCCCCCCCAGGCGCGCTCAGCCCCCGCAGCCCCGGGGCTCTGCCTGCCGCGATGGGGCAATGAAGGCTGTAAAACCGGGTGGGGAGGGACGGCGGCCGGGAAACCAGTCCAGCCTGCTGCGGCGTGGGGATCCCGGCCCTCGCCCCGAAGCGCGTCCCCCACCCACCCCCGGGCCGCCTCCCGGGGCAGGGAGGGACCGGCCCGGCCGGGGCCCCGGGCTGGGGGCGGCTGCGGGGGGGAAGGAGCGGGGCGGCCCCGGGGGTGCCCCCCGCCCGGCGAGGGGAGCGTTTGTGCTGTGAAGAGGCTGCGGGGCTCTGGGGTTTGGGTTTTGTACTGGAATAAACGCCGCGTGTTTTCCACGCTCCGGCTCTCCGGCTCCATCTCTGCCCAAGGACGCGGGGGTCCCGCGCCCTGACCCCGAATTTTCACTGCCAAATGATTCAGGGGTTCGGCAAGTCGACCCCAAATCAATCTTGTCAAGGGATTCAGGCATCCCGGCCCCAAATCTGCCCTGCCAAGGGGCTCAGGGGTCCGGAATCCCGACCCCAAATCTGCCCTGCCAAGGGGCTCAGGGGTCCAGAATCCCGAGCCCAAATCAACCCTGCCCAAGAGACTCAGGGGTCTGGGATCCCGACCCCAAACCATCCCCACCGAGGGGCTCAAGGGGCAGGAACCCTGACCCCAAATTATCCCCACCAAGGGACCCAAGGTCCAGCACCCCGGCCCCAAATCAGCCCTGCCCAAGAGACTCAGGATCCGGCGTCCCGACCCCAAATAATTTATTTCGAGGGGCTCAGGGGTCTCACATCTCGACCCCAAATCATTCATTCCAAGGGACCAGGGGGTCTGGTATCCCGACCCCAAACCATCCCCACCGAAGGGATCAGGGTCTCCCCCAGCCTGCCCTCTGCTCTCCAAGGCTTCCCAGGACAGGGACCCCGGGGGCTGCTGGGTGTGGGGGTGACAGGGGCTGGGACCGGCTGAGCCCCCCACGAGGGTCCCATCCCGCACCCCCCGGGCCGGGCGGGCGCGCAGGGTCCCCCCACGGGCAGGGCGCTGCCCGGCAGCTCCGCCCGCATACCGCGGGCCGGGCGCGGTGCTGCCCACGCCGGGGCTTCCCGTGGGGGGCGCGGGGTGCCCGTGGGAGTGATGCCCACGCCAGGGCTGCCCGTGGGGGCGCGGGGTGCCCGTGGGGGCTCTGCCCACGCCGGGGCTGCCCGTGGGGGCGCGGGGTGCCCGTGGGGTGCTGCCCACGTCGGGGCTGCCCGTGGGGGCGCGGGGTGCCCGTGGGGTGCTGCGCTGGAGGGGGCGGGCCGGGGCTGGACAGGGCGGGCCGGGGCGGGCCCGGCAGCGGCGGAGGGGCGGAAGCAGCGGCAGGTGCGTGGGGACGGGAGGCCCCCGCGGGGTCCCGGTTACCGGCGCTGTCAGGGGGGGGTTCCCGTCCGCGGTCGGTGCTGGGGGGTCCCGGTTACCGGGGCTGCGGGGGCGTGGCTCCGGTCCGTGCGGAGCTGCGGGGTCCCGGGCGGGGGTACCCCCCAAGTCACCCCGCCATGGGGTCCCTGATGTCCCCCAAGTTTTAGGAACCGCGTCAGCCAACAGCCCCTCCAGGGCCAGCCCCAGAGCGACCCTGGGGACACATCCAGGGCGGGGACAGGGGGCTGACATCGCCCTGACCCGGTTTAGGATGGCGGGGCACGGTCCTGTGCCCTCGTCCTGCGACTGCTTCGTGGCCATGCCGCCGCACACGGCGTCCCCCGCTGTCATCTTCGGCAAGAACGCCGATCGTCCCCGAGACGAGGTGCAGGAGATCGTCTATGTCCCCGCTGCCACCCACCGGCCTGGGGACAAAGTCCAGGTGAGACCGTGCAGGGCCAAAGGAGCTGTAGGGACATCAGGTGCCAGCTCAGCCGTGTGTGTCCTCCCACTGCAGGGCCAGGGTGGCTGCAGGGACAGAGCACTCACTGTGCCAGGTGTCACCCCGTGTGCCAGGGTGGGGGACAGAGCACTCACTGTGCCAGGTGTCACCCCGTGTGCCGGGGTGGCTGCAGGGACAGAGCACTCACTGTGCCAGGTGTCACCCCGTGTGCCGGGGTGGCTGCAGGGACAGAGCACTCACTGTGCCAGGTGTCACCCCGTGTGCCAGGGTGGGGGACAGAGCACTCACTGTGCCAGGTGTCACCCCGTGTCACGCCGTGTCCCCGCAGTGCACGTACCTGGAGATCGAGCAGGCGGAGCGCACGCACGCCGTGGTGCTGAGCCGCCCCGCCTGGCTCTGGGGGGCCGAGATGGGCGCCAACGACTGCGGGGTCTGCGTGGGCAACGAGGGCGTGTGGACCCGCGAGCCCCTGGGCGAGGCCGAGGCACTGCTGGGCATGGACCTGGTGAGGTGAGGAGGGTGAGGAGGGTGAGGATGGTGAGGACAGTGAGAATGGTGAGGACAGTGAGGACGGTGATGGTGGTGAGGATGGTGGGGACAGCCCCGTGTCCCCCTGCCCGCGCTGTCCCAGCCCCCGGTGAGGATGGTGATGATGGTGAGGATGGTGATGATGCTGAGGACAGCCCCGTGTCCCCCTGCCCACGCTGTCCCAGCCCCCGGAGAGGATGGTGATGATGGTGAGGACAGTGAGGACGGTGATGATGGTGAGGATGGTGGGGACAGCCTTGTCTCCCCGTGCCTGCTCTGTCCCAGCCCCCGGTGAGGATGGTGATGGTGGTGAGGATGGTGATGATGCTGAGGACAGCCCCTGTCCCCGTGCCCATGCTGTCCCAGCCCCTGGAGAGGATGGTGATGGTGGTGATGATGGTGAGGATGGTGAGGACAGCCCCCTGTCCCCATGCCCGCGCTGTCCCAGCCCCCGGTGATGATAGTGATGATGGTGGGGACAGCCTCGTGTCCCCGTGCCCACGCTGTCCCAGCCCCCGGAGAGGATGGTGATGATGGTGATGATGGTGAGGATGGTGAGGACAGCCCCGTGTCCCCGCGCTGTCCCAGCCCCCGGAGAGGATGGTGATGGTGGTGAGGACAGCCCCCCTGTCCCTGTGGCTGTGCTGTCCTAGCCCCCTGTGATGATAGTGAGGATGGTGATGATGGTGAGGACGGTGGGGACAGCCCTGTGTCCCCGCGCTGTCCCAGCCCCCGGTGAGGATGGTGATGATGGTGATGATGGTGATGATGTTGAGGACGGTGGGGACAGCCCCGTGTCCCCGCGCTGTCCCAGCCCCCGGTGAGGATGGTGATGATGGTGAGGACGGTGGGGACAGCCCTGTGTCCCCGCGCTGTCCCAGCCCCCGGTGAGGATGGTGATGATGGTGAGGACGGTGGGGACAGCCCTGTGTCCCCGCGCTGTCCCAGCCCCCGGTGAGGATGGTGATGATGGTGAGGACGGTGGGGACAGCCCTGTGTCCCCGCGCTGTCCCAGCCCCCGGAGAGGATGGTGAGGATGGTGATGATGCTGAGGATGGTGGGGACAGCCCCGTGTCCCAGCCCCCGGGCTGTCTGACGGGCACTGCTGGCACAGGCTGGGTTTGGAGCGGGGCGGCTCGGCCCGGGAGGCCCTGGAGGTGATGACGGCGCTGCTGGAGCGCTACGGCCAAGGCGGGAGCTGCAAGGAGGAGCCGGTGCCCTTCGTGTACCACAACACCTTCCTGCTGGCCGACCGCGCCGAGGCCTGGCTGCTGGAGACGGCCGGGCGCTACTGGGCGGCGCAGCGCATCCGCGGTGAGCGGGCACCGGGGGGCCCGGGGGGCACGGCGCGTCCCGGAGCGCCCCGAGTGACCCCCGGGCCCCGCTGGCGCAGAGGGCAGCCGCAACATCTCCAACCAGCTGAGCATCGGCAGCGAGATCGCGGCCGAGCACGCGGGGCTGCGGGAGCGCGCGCGCAGCCGGGGCTGGTGGAGCGGCCGCGGCGAGTTCAGCTTCGCTCGCGCCTTCTCCCTGGAGAAGGAGCCCCCGCGCATGGAGGCGGCCCGGGCACGGCTGCACGCCGGCAGGGAGCTGCTGCGGCAGCACGCAGGTGGGGACACGGTGGGGACACGGTGGGGACACGGTGGGGACAGGGTGGGGACACGGTGAGGACACGGTGGGGACACGGTGGGGACACGGTGAGGACACGGTGCTGACACGGTGGGGACACAGTGAGGACATGGTGGGGACATGGTGGGGACACAGTGAGGACACAGTGGGGACACGGTGGGGACACGGTGGGAACACGGTGGGGACACGGTGAGGACACGGTGAGGACACGGTGGGGACACGGTGGGGACACAGTGGGGACACGGTGAGGACACAGTGGGAACACGGTGGGGACACGGTGGGGACACGGTGAGGACACAGTGGGAACACGGTGGGGACACGGTGGGGACACGGTGGGGATGGGGACAGCACAAGGGACAGGGATGTTGTGATAAGGCACGAAATGATGACACAGACGCTGCTGCTCTCGAGGGGAACAAAAAAGAAAAACTTTTATTTAACTGAGCATCCCCAGCCCCACTTGCACAGCAGTCAGTCAGATCAGAGCCAGTCGAGGCTGAAGAGTAGCAAATAGCATCAGGAACTGAGAGATGGAAGCTTTAGACCCAGCTTTGCCTCTAAATATACAAAATTAATAACAGTGGAGGGGAAGATGGTGGGACACTGGTTCTGTTCTAACTGGTGATTTTTTTTTTCCTTCTTCTTTTCTGTCATGCTGACCCAGGTTTTTCTGTTTGAAAGGAAGCCTGGCACAATGTCCATTGTCTTCTCCATTTGTCAAATACCAAGCAGAGTCTGGGCAGGCTGATGATGCAGAGCAAAACCTGAAAATATACTAGTGATCCTGAGCCTGGGGGTTGCAGCTAAACCCAGCCAAAAGTAATTTCTGGAAAGTTGAGCCTGGTTTACATTATCTTGAGTTTGGCTTTGCCAACTTCACCAGTCATTTATAAAAAAGCAAACAAATAACTCAAACCAAAACAGACCAAAACCCAAACAAACAAACCCAGGCAAACCAATCAAACAAATAGATAAAAAGCCCAAATAAAACTGTTGTGATAAGGCACAAAATGATGACACAGACACTGCTGCTCTCGAGGGGAACAAAAAAGAAGCACCTTTATTTTCTGACTCCAACATTTATAGTTTTCCAAAGGTGACAGTGGATTGGAGGGTGACAGTGCCACCTCTCCAATGCCACTGGACAGACCAAGGGTCCATCAATTCTCTCCACCTCCATGAAAGAATGCAAAACATAGGTTATTTACAGAACTGTGTGTGAGAAAGTTTGTTAAAAGAATGTAAACATCAGAAGGCTTAACAAACTCTTACAAAATCAGGGTGACACAGGGACAGGGACAGGGACAGGGACAGGGACAGGGACGGGGACAGGGATGGGGATGGGGATGGGGATAGGACTGGGACAGGGACAGGAACGGGGATAGGACTGGGACAGGGACAGGAATATGATAGAGACAGGAAGGGGGATAGGACAGGTACAGGGATGGGGACAAGAAGAATAGAACAGGGACAGGGATGGTGACAGCACGGGGATGTGACAGGACAGGGATGGGGATACTCACCCGTGGCTCCCCAAGGGCTGCTTGCTTCCACATGGCAAGGAGCTCTTGTGGCAGCACTCAGGTGGGGACAGGCATGGGGACAGGGACAGGGATGGCCACCCACGGCTCGCCAAGGGCTGCTTCTGTGCTGGCACATCCCCTGGGGACAGGGCCTGGCACGGGGACAGCCACCCACGCCTCGCCCCAGTGCGTCCCCAGTGCCCACGGCCGAGCTGGCAGCGCTGCGGTGGCCCGTCACAGGCCACTGTCACAGGGCCCTGTCCATCCCTCCAGGTCACATCACGGCGGAGACGCTGATGTCCATCCTGCGGGACAAGGAGAGCGGCATCTGCGTGGACGCCGAGGGGTTCCGCACGGCGGGCAGCATGGTGTCCGTGCTGCCCCGCGACCCCGCCCTGCCCTGCGTGCACTTCTTCACCGCCACCCCCGACCCCTCCAGGTGAGCCCGAGCCGGGCACGGCGACGTGGCGCTCCCAGCAGCTCCGCTCTCTCACCCCGGCCTCTCCTCCAGGTCTGTCTTCAAGCCCTTCGTGTTCGTGGCCGGAGTCAAGCCGGCGCCGCAGGTGAGATCCCCGACCTTCCTGCAGGATCCCGCCAAGCAGATCCCGAGGTTCCAGAGCTCCGTGGATCGGCGGCACGAGCTGTACCGCCGGCATCAGGCGGCGCTGGAGCTCATGGAGCGGGACCCGGTACCGCAGACCCCGCCAGAGCCCTCAGACCCCGCAGAGCCTGCAGAGCCCGCAGAGCTCTCAGACCCCACAGAGCTCTCAGACCCCACAGAGCTCTCAGACCCCACAGAGCTCTCAGACCTTGCAGACCCCACAGAGCCTGCAGAGCCCACAGACCCCACAGAGCCCTCAGACCCCACAGACCCCACAGAGCCCTCAGACCCCACAGACCCCACAGAGCCCGCAGACCCCACAGAGCTCTCAGACCCTGCAGAGCCTGCAGACCCCACAGACCCCACAGAGCCTGCAGAGCCCTCAGACCCCGCAGAGCCCTCAGACCCCACAGAGCTCTCAGACCCCACAGAGCTCTCAGACCTTGCAGACCCCACAGAGCCTGCAGAGCCCACAGACCCCACAGAGCCCTCAGACCCCGCAGAGCCCTCAGACCCCAGAGACCAGGGGGGTCCTGCCCACCGCCCCGTGTGTGCTTCCCCCCATTTCCAGCCCCTCAGGGAGGCATCCACATGGACTGGGGTGGGAAGAAAGTCTTTATTCCCGGCTGCTGCTGCAGGATATTTGGGATAACTGCCCATTTCCTGCTCCTTTGGCACGAGTCTCCTTCTCCAGAGCCTCGCCTGGGGGCTGGATGGCGCCAGGAGCTGGCTGGGACCCGCCGGACGCCGGCAGAGGTGACAGCTGTGCCCCTGGCTCGCCCTGGGGACAGAGCTGGGGACACGGCCGGGCTGTGCCGTCCCACCCCGCGCCCAGCAGCAGAGCCCGGCGCTCCCGCAGCTCCTCCAGCCGCGCCCGGTGCTCCTCCCGGCTCACGGAGCGCCTCCACCGCGCCCGCCCCGCCAGCTCCCGCTGCACGCCCGCGAGGAAACCTGCAGGGACCGGCACCGGGACCGGGACGGGACAGGACAGGGACAGGGACGGGACAGGGACAGGGACACGGGATAGGGACAGGAACAGGACAGGGACAGGGACGGGGACGGGACAGGGACGGGACAGGGACAGGGACAGGGACCGGGACAGGGACAGGGACAGGGACCGGGACAGGGACCGGGGCCGGGACAGGGACAGGAACAGGGACAGGGACGGGACAGGGACAGGGACAGGGACAGGGACAGGGACAGGGACAGGGACAGGGACAGGACAGGGATAGGGACCGGGACAGGGACGGGACAGGGACAGGGACCGGGACAGGGACCGGGACAGGGACAGGGACAGCAGCTCCAGATGTGGCACTGCCAGCCCCAAGAGCCAGAGGGCCGCGTGTCCTGTCCCCAGCCCGGCACCTCTGTCCACAGTGAAGGGAGCCCTCAGCTCAGGGAGCAGCTCCTCCTCCTCCTCCTCCTCCTCGCTGCTGCGGGAGCCGCCTCCCGCCCCTTCCTCGGCCGCGTTTCCATGGGCGGGCTGGGAATCCAGCTGCAGGAGCTGGGGCAGGGCTGCCAGCACCCGGTCCCTGTGGGAAACATGAAGGAAAAGCCAAATTTTCTGCAGCTGTGGGATTGGGAGTGGGTGTCCCATCCTCCCTCAGCCCACCAGAGCCTGAGGGTGGAGAGATTCAAATCCCTGGGATGTGGAGAGCAGGGATTGAAATCGCTGGGGGTTTGAGCAGGGATTCACATCCCTGGGGTTGGGGCAGGGATTCACATCCCTGGGGTTGGGGCAGGGATTCACATCCCTGGGGTTGGGGCAGGGATTCACATCCCTGGGGTTGGGGCAGGGATTCACATCCCTGGGGTTGGGGCAGGGATTCACATCCCTGGGGTTGGGGCAGGGATTCACATCCCTGGGGTTGGGGCAGGGATTCACATCCCTGGGGTTGGGGCAGGGATTCACATCCCTGGGGTTGGGGCAGGGATTCACATCCCTGGGGTTGGGGCAGGGATTCACATCCCTGGGGCTTGGAGGGCCAGGCTGTGTTTGATATCTCATGGAATGGTTTGGGTAGGAAGGGGCCTGAAATCCCACCCAGTTCCAATTCAGGGACACATCCCCCACCCCAGCCCGCCCCAGACTGTCCTGGGACCCTGCCAGGGATTCTCTGGGAATTCCATTCCACCCCGTGCCCACCCTCCCAGCCAGGAATTCCTTCCCAAAATCCCCTCTGGCAATGGGAATCCATTCCCCCTTGGCCAAGCCCAGCTCTGGGGAAAGGCCACAGCTGGGGGACCCCGAGGCGTGTCCCCGTTTTTGGGGGGCTCTCCTGGCCCACCTGTATCCATCCTGCCGCGTGCACGGGTTCCCTGCCAGCTCCAGGATCCGGAGGCTGCGGGGCAGCTCCTCTGCCAGGACACAGGGAAAGCACACAGGGGCTGAGCTGGGGCAGGACTGCTGCCCCCCAATGCCCCCAGCTCCCCCCACGCCTGAGGCAGCGCCCACTCCCGGGGAAACTGAGGCAGGGTGGTGGGAATGGGAATTGCAGCCACCCCTGGAGCTGTTCTGCTCCCACTCCCAGGGAAACTGAGGCAGGGGGGTGGGAATGGGGATTGCAGCCATCCCTGGAGCTTTTTTGCTCCCCAGCAGGGAAACTGAGGCAGGCAGGGCAGCCACCCCTGGAGCCCTTCCTGCTCCCCACCTGTGGCCAGCACCTGGATCAGGTTGTGGGACAGGTCCAGGACGCTCAGCTGGGGCAGCCCCTGCAGGTTTTCCACCCTCTGGATGCGGTTCCCAGCCAGGCAGAGGAACCTGGAGAGCTCAGGGGGGGTCGGGGGGATGTCACAGCCCCCTGGGGACACCCGGTCCCCTTCCCCAGCCCAGGGAACCCTCGGGAGGAGGAGCTGCTGTACCTCAGGTTGGGGAAACACTCCAAATTCTCGATCTTCTCAATTTGGTTCTGGAAAATAAAATAGGAAGAACCCCAGCGTGGTTTTTATTTTGCCTGCTGAGTGAAAATTCCCGTTTTGGGAATGCTCTGGGATTGAATCCCTGCTCCAACCAACCCTGGGGGCAACTCAGGAGATTCTGGGGAGGGAATGGGGCGGGGGGACACGGAGAGACCCCAAAATTCAGGGCCCTGAGTGTCCTCGTGTGGGTTTGGGAACACTGGAATTCCAGGGGGTTGGAATGGCGGGGGGGGGGGGGCTGGGGGGGTCACTGGGACAAAAGCCTCAAGGGTGGGGGAAACTGTTCCCTTCTGGATACTGGGGAGGGAAAACAGGAGTGGGACTGGGGGTACCTGTGCCCCCCGGAGCAGGACTGGGGTCCCTGTGCCCCTGGATCAGACCCGGGGGTCCCTGTGCCCCCCAGATCGGAATTGGGGTCCCTGTGCCCCCGGATCAGACCTGGGGGTCCCTGTGCCTGTGGGATCAGACCCGAGTGTCCCTGTGCCCCCAAGATCAGGATTGGGGTCCCTGTGCCCCCAGGATCAGACCCGGGGGTCCCTGTGCCCCAGGATCAGACCCGGGGGTCCCTGTGCTCCAGGATCAGACCCGGGGGTCCCTGTGCCTGTGGGATCAGACCCGGGGGTCCCTGTGCCCCAGGATCAGACCCGGGGGTCCCTGTGCCCCCAGGACTGAGGTCCCTGTGGGATCAGACCCGGGGGTCCCTGTGCCTGTGGGATCAGACCCGGGGGTCCCTGTGCCCCAGGATCAGACCCGGGGGTCCCTGTGCCCCCCGCTCAGGCCGCCCCCAGCTCCGTACCTGCTGCAGGTAGAGGCTGAGGGTGGCCCCCGTTCCCCGGCTCCTGCCGATGCAGCAGATGTTCTCCCGGTCCAGGCGCACGGTGCCGCTGGGGCTGCGGGGACACGGGCACGGCGTTCTGGGGGGCCCGGAGCCCCCTCCCTCCCTGCGGGGCCCGGGGGATGCTCACCGGCCGCGAGCGAGGAGCAGGCTGTCGCTGAGGGTCACCCCTGGGCACGGCTCCGCAGGGGCTGCGGGAATTGGGGGGGGGTCCGGGGCAGGCCGCAGCCCCTCCTGCCCCAGGAGCCCCCCGGCGTCTCGCTCACCCCCACAAAGGGGCTCAGCCATGGCGGAGTGGGCTGGGGTCCTTGGCCCCTCCTCAGGGGGGATGGCGGCAGCTGGGTCTGGGGGAACAGAGGGGACAAACCTGGGGTGGGCTGGGGTCAGGGCTGGGACCCCGCGGGGGGCAGAGGGGCTCTGTATCCAGGGGGGTTATGGCACTGGAACCGGGGGTCACCGGGGCCAGGAGCCCAGAGACCCCCGGGATGGGGCTGGGGGAGACCAGGAGCCCAGAGACCCCCGGGATGGGGCTGGGGGAGGCCAGGAGCCCAGAGACCCCCGGGATGGGACTGGGGGTCACCGGGACCAGGAGCCCAGAGACCCCCGGGATGGGGCTGGGGGTCACCAGGACCAGGAGCCCAGAGACCCCTGGGATGGGACTGGGGGAGGCCAGGAGCCCAGAGACCCCCGGGATGGGGCTGGAGGTCACCGGGACCAGGAGCTCAGAGACCCCCAGGATGGGGCTGGGGGTCACCGGGGCCAGGCCTCACTGGCCGGGGGCTCTCAGAGACCCCCGAGATGGAGCCACGGCAGCTCAGCGGGACCGGGTACCGCGGGTTTGGAGCTGAGAGACCCCCGGAAAGGCCAGGGGGCTCACCGGGAGCGGTTCCCCGGGTGTGGGCTCAGAGTTCCTCACTCTGGGGGCTCAGCGACCCCCGGGCCCGCGCCCAGGCCGCGCCGCGCCGTTGCTATGGAGACCGGCGCGCCGGAAGTGGCGCTCCTCCACCTTCCCACAGGCCCTTGCGCGGCCGCGGCCAAGATGGCGGCGCTGGGAAGCGGCGGGGCGCGATGGCGGCGGGGTGAGGGAACGGGAACGGGAACGGGAACGGGAACGGGGCTGGGACTGGGACTGGGACTGGGACTGGGACTGGGACTGGGACTGGGACTGGGACTGGGACTGGGACTGGGACTGGGACTGGGACTGGGACTGGGACTGGGACTGGGACTGGGACTGGGACTGGGACTGGGACTGGGACTGGGACTGGGACGGGAACGGGGCTGGGACGGGACCGGGACAGGGACAGGGACTGGGACTAGGACTGGGACTGGGACTGGGACTGGGACTGGGACTGGGACTGGGACTAGGACTGGGACTGGGTCGGGAACGGGGCTGGGACGGGGACTGGGACTGGGACGGGAACGGGAACGGGGCTGGGACAGGGGCCTGGAATGGGGACGAGAACGGGGACAGGATTGGAACAGGAAAGGGAACCGGGCTGGGACAGGAATGGGAACGGGAACAGGACAGGAATGGGAACGGGAACAGGACAGGAATGGGAACGGGACTGGGACAGGAATGGGAACGGGATTGGGACAGGAATGGGAACTGGAACGGGACTGGGACGGGGACAGGAACGGGAACGGGACTGGGACAGGAACGGGACGGGGAATGGGGACGAGAGTGGGAAGGGAACGGGAACGGAACTGGGACGGGGACAGGAATGGGAAGGGGAACGGGAATGGGAACGGGACTGGGACAGGAACGGGACAGGGAACTGCTGGGAAGGGAATGGGAAGAAGCTGCTGGCCCTGACCGAGTACCTGCCCCCGCGGCCCGCCCTGCCGCCGCGCTGCCTGCCCCGGCCCGGCCCCCGCGACTCGCAGGTACGGCACGGCTCGGCTCGGCTCGGCACGGCTCGGGGGTCCTGCAGCTGTGGGACAGCCCTGGGGTGGGGTGTGGGGGGGCTGGGAAACAGGGGAGACCCCGCGTGTGGGACCTTGAGATCTGTGAGGGCACCTCGAGATCCATGGGAACACCTCGAGATACATGGGGGCACCTCAGGATCCATGGGGGCACCTTGAGATCCATGGGAACACCTCAGGATCCATGGGAACACCTCGGGATCCATGGGGGCACCTCGGGATCCATGGGGGCACCTCGGGATCCGTGGGGTCACTGAGATCCATGAGAACACCTCGAGATCCATGGGGGCACCTCAAAACCTATGGCATCACCTCACAATCCTCGGGACCATCTCCCCCCAGCAGTTCCAGCTGCAGAATCACACCAGGGGTCCCACCCTGTCCCCACATCCTAGATCCCTGTCCCCAGGGCTCTCTCCTGTCCCCACACCCACACTGTGTGTCCCCAGGAGGATGGCCACACATGGGTGCTGTGTCCCCAGCGCTGTCCCCTGTCCCCAGTCTCCTCACTCCCTGTCCCCAGGGCTGTCCCCATCCCCTCACTCCCTGTCCCCAGCACTGTCCCCTGTCCCCAGTCCCCTCCCTCCCTGTCCCCAGGAGCACGGCCACGTGCGGGTGCCATGTCCCCAGGGCTGTCCCCTGTCCCCATCCCCTCACTCCCTGTCCCCAGGGCTGTCCCCAGTCCCCATCCCCTCGCTCCCTGTCCCCAGGAGGACGGCTACGCGCGGGTGCTGCGTGCCCAGCTGCAGGCCGTGCTGGCTGCCAGCCGCATGGTGGCCGTGTGCCAGTACAACTCCATGGCCGAGGAGGACGTGGCCACGCTGCGGCACTTCCTGCGCCGCCACGACATCCACGTCAAGTTCGTCCTCAACGAGGTGGGGCTCGGTCTCACGGCGGCTCGGGGGGTGTTCTGGGGGCTCCGGGGGTATCCTGGTGGTTCCTGGGGGTATCCTGGGCATTCCAGGAGTGTTCCAGGGGTGTCCGGGGGTATCCACTGGTTCTGGGGGTATCCCAGTGCTATCCAGTGATTCTGGGAGTATCCCAGTGGTTCCAGGGGTATCCTGGTGGTTCTTGGGGGTATCCTGGGCATTCCAGGAGTGTTCCAGGGGTGTCCGGGGGTATCCACTGGTTCTGGGGGTATCCCAGTGCTATCCAGTGATTCTGGGAGTATCCCAGTGGTTCCAGGGGTATCCTGGTGGTTCTGGAGGGGGTGTCCCGGTGATTCCAGGGTGTATCCCAGTGGTTCCAGGGGTGTCCTGGTGGTTCTGGAGGGGGTGTCCCAGTGATTCCAGGATGTATCCCAGTGGTTCCAGGGGTGTCCTGGTGGTTCTGGAGGGGGTGTCCCGGTGGTTTCAGGGTGTTCCAGAAGTTCCAGAGGTGTCCCAGTGGTTCCAGGCTATCCTGGTGGTTCCGGGCTGTCCCGGTGGTTCCAGGCTGTTCCGGGCTGTCCCAGTGGCTCCGGGCTGTCCCGGTCGTTCCGGGCTGTTCCGGGCTGTCCCGGTGGTTCCAGGGTGTCCCGGTGGCTCCGGGCTGTCCCGGTGGTTCTGGGCTGTCCTGGTGGCTCCAGGCTGTCCCGGTGGTTCTGGGCTGTTCCGGGCTGTCCTTGTGGTTCCAGGGTGTCCCAGTGGCTCCGGGCTGTCCCGGTGGTTCCGGGCTGTTCCGGGCTGTCCCGGTGCCCCCGGACTGTCCCGGTGGTTCCAGTGTGCCCCAGTGGTTCTGGGCTGTCCCGGTGGCTCCGGGCTGTCCCGGTGGTTCTGGGCTGTTCTGGGCTGTCCCAATGGTTCCGGGCTGTCCCGGTGCCCCCGGGCTGTCCCGGTGGTTCCGGGCTGTTCCGGGCTGTCCCGGTGGTTCTGGGCTGTTCTGGGCTGTCCCAATGGTTCCGGGCTGTCCCGGTGCCCCCGGGCTGTCCCGGTGGTTCCGGGCTGTTCCGGGCTGTCCCGGTGGTTCTGGGCTGTCCCGGTGTCCCCGTTCTCACCCCGGGCCGTGCCCAGGTTGCCCGGCCGGTGCTGGCGCAGTCCAAGTGGAGGAACCTGCTGCCGCTGTTCGTGTGCCGGAACATCCTGCTGGTGAGCCCGGAGCCGCGCGCCAGGGAGATGCTGCGGGTGCTCAAGGGGGTGCCACAGGTCAACCTGCTGGGTGAGAGCCTCCCCTGCCCTGGAGCAGCGAGCCGGGACCAGCCGGGGCCGGGAACGGGGGCATCACCCCCTCCCCATTGGGCTCTGGAATTCCATGCCCACCCCCTCCCCATTGGGCTCTGGAATTCCATGCCCACCCCCTCCCCATTGGGCTCTGGAATTCCATGCCCACCCCGAGCTCCCCTCCCCATTGGGCTCTGGAATTCCATGCCCACCCCCTCCCCACTGGGCTCTGGAATTCCGTGCCCATCCCGATCTCCCGTTTCCAGGCGCCTGCATCGACGACACCATCCTGAGCCGGCAGGGCGTGGAGACCTTGTCCCGGCTGCCGCCGCTGGAGGCGTGCCGCGGGCAGACGGTGGCGGCCCTGTCCCTGCCGTGCTCGCACACCTCGTCCCTGCTGCAGCACGGCCCCGCTCGCCTCGCGGCGCTGCTGGACCGGCACATCCGGCGGCTGCGGGGCACCGGGACAGCCGCGGGCAGCCGCTGACGCTGGGGACTGGCGACCACTTCCTTCCCTGGAGCCCCCCGGGTTGAAGGATCACGGACACAATTCCCGTGGAATTCTGCAGCTCCGCAGAGCGGGGTCAGGGGCTGGAGGTGTGACGCTGAGGGTCCTGCGGCCCCCCAGCCCCAGCAGGGAGTGGTGGCCGTTCCCTTGTGCTCCCCTGGGGTCGTCCCAGCAGCGTTCCAGCTGTGGTCGGGGGTCTCTGGGAGCAGCCAGAGGAGGAGGAGGAGCGCGGGGTGGACCCTCCAGGGGGGACTTTGGGCACTCCAAGCCCCGTGCCTTGGGGCTGGGGGCGTGCTGTGGCGCTGATCCCACCCCGGGGTCGCTGGCCTGTCCATTAAAGTGTCTGTGTGGAACTGCCGAGGCCTCGTCTGTGATTTTGGGGGGTGGGTGGGGGGGAGGCCAGGGCTGCTCCGGGGGTCTGAGGGAGCAGAGTTGGGGTGGGAGAGGGAAATCCCAGGGTGGGAATGCCCCGGGACCACCTTGGAGGGGTGATCCCGGACACCCCCGTGGGTCAGCGATTCCCGGGATCCCCACGGGGTGGTGATTCCCGGGATTTCCATGGGATGAGCAGCCCTGAGACCCCCACGGGATGGTGATCCTGAGACCCCCACAGGCTGCTGATTCCCGCTGGGTCAGTGATCCCTGAGACCCTCTCGGGTTGGCAATCCCCAAGCCGTCCATGGGATGGTGATCCTGAGACCCTCAGACATCCATCCTGAGACCCCCGCGGGTCGGTGATTCCGGGACCCCCGTGTGTCAATGATCCCTGAGACCCCCGCGGGTCGGTGATTCCGGGACCCCCGTGTATCGGTGATTCCCGGGACCCCCGCGGGTCCGTGATTCCCAGGACCCCCGCGGGTCCGTGATTCCCGGGACCCCCGTGGGATAACCAACCCCAGGACCCCCGTGCGGTGCTGCCTCTCGCGGGGGTCCCCCCACCCCTCTCCCCGGGGCTGGGCTCCGGAGCCGCCCCGGTTCCGTGCGGGCGCTGTGGCCGTGCCCGCTCCCGGTGTCCCGGCAGCTCCCGGCGCTGGCGGCTCCGGTCCTCCACGGAGCAGGGGGCAGAGCCGAGCGGCTCCGGACCGCCCTCCGTGTTCCGCTTCCTGCCGCCGCCGCCGGGCAGGATGCGACCGGCGCCCGCCGCCCGCCCGCCGCCCGCCCAGGTGAGCACCGGACACCGGCACGGGGCACGGTCCGGCCGGCCCCGGCCCCCGCTGCCCCGGGGGGTGACACCGGCGCGGGGGCACGGGGATGGGCTTTGCCCCGCGCGGGGGATGGAGCCCCCCGGGGGTACCGGCGCAGCCCCGCTCCGCTGCCAGGGGTCGGTGCCGATCCCCGGCAGCACCTGCGGGAGAGAACCGGGAGACCCCCGGTGCCCTCCCCTCGGAGCCGCCGGTACCGGTGCCGGGTTATCTAAGGCAGCGTGCTTGTCTGCCGGTGCCGTGGTTACCGGCGCCGTGGCCGTCGCTACGGCGGTGACCGGTGCCGCGGTTACCGGCACGGTGGTCACCGGTGCCGGGGCTTGGCCGCTCTCCCGGGGTTATCCCGGGATCCGTCCTACGGCAGCGGCCGGGACTCACGGATGCCCCGTCAGGGACAGCGCCAGGGGGGATGACAAGGCCAGGAGAAGCTTGCCCGTGCCTCAGTTTCCCCCTCTGGAATCGTGAAGGGCAAAGGGAGCAGACGCCGAGCCGGGTTTGGCGGGGTCGCGTCCCGGCTCGGCGGTGCCGGATGGAGCAGGGGCCGAGCCCGGTCCTCGCCGCGGTGTCGCCCTGCTGGCTGTGCCCCGTGCCCACCGCTCCGCGGGGCCGGACTCTGGACCCGGACTGGGTGGCACAGCCGAGATAACGCTGGGCGGGTCAAAGGCTCGGCTCACGCAGAACTTTCTCGGTGCCAGCGGCGGTGCCATGCAGAGCCCCTCGGGGGCTGGGCACGGGGCCACCCCCGCCGCCCCCTGTCCCAGCGGGGCTGCCGCTGCCGTCCCGGAGCCCCCTGACCCGCCGTCCCCTCCCCGCAGCGGCTCCCGCCGTGACGGCCGAGCTCGGAGCCCCGGCCCCGCAGCCCGGACGTGGCGGGGGGCTCGGCCCGGTGCCCCCTGCCCCCGCTGCTCGCCGGCCATGGGCAGCCACGAGAAGGACCCGTGCTCCCCGAAAAGGGCCCTGTCCCGCTCCAACAGCACCGTGTCTTCCAAGCACAGCAGCGTCCAGCAGGTTTGGATTTGGATTTGGATCTGGGGGGCTCTGGGGGCTTCCCCCTGCTTTAGGATGATGCCCCTGCGGGTACCAAATGTCCCTGCCTGGGAACAAGGTGGGCAGCACCTCTGGTGCTCAGGGACCCCCATGCTGACCCCCGTCCCCGCAGGGCTCGGAGAGCTGGGAGGTGGTGGAGGAGCCCCGTGCCCGGGGCAGCCCCGGGCAGCAGCCTCAGCGGCACGAGGGGTACCTGCTCAAGAAGAGGAAATGGCCCCTGAAGGGCTGGCACAAGGTAACAGGCTGAGCTGGCGCCAGGAGCCGCGGTCCCGGCTGGTCCGGCAGGATTTGGGCAGGGGGGCTGGCTGTGGGGGCTGCTGGCTGCACCCCCTCCCAGAATAAACCTTCCCCCTCCCTCCCCAGCGGTACTTCGTGCTGGAAAACGGGATCCTGAAATATTCCACCACGCGCCAGGACGTGAGTGTGTGCCCAGGCTGTGGCCACGCAGCCTCCCCGGGGGGCTCAGGGCTGGGGACACCCCCGTGGCCCCCCTGAGGAAGGGGGTCTTCCCCCTGACAGGCGTCCCTGGGCTCCCCCAGGTCCTCAAGGGCAAGCTGCACGGTGCCATCGATGTCCGGCAGTCCGTCATGTCCGTCAACAAGAAGGCTCAGAGGGTTGACCTGGACACAGAGGACAACATTTATCACCTCAAGGTGCCGCTGGGAGGCCGGGGCTGGGCTGGGACAGGCTTGGGGCCACCAGCTGCTGTCCCCTCCAACTCGGCCCTGTCCCCCAGATCAAGTCCCCGGAGGTGTTCTCCAGCTGGGTGAGCAGCCTGTGCAGGCACCACCACGGCGAGCGGCCGGGGCCGTGTCCCCCCGGGGGTCCCACGGGGACCAGCACGCAGGTGGGTGGCAGCTCGGGGTGACAGCTCCGGGCAGGGCCTGGGCAGCGGCTGCTGACGGCGATGGGTGCCCTCTGTGCCCGGCTGCAGGGCCAGTGGACACGGATCCTGCCCTCGGGCAGCGCCCCTGCCCTGTCCACGCTGGCCAGCCCCCGGGACAAGGTGAACGCCTGGCTGAAGGACAGCGAGGGGCTGGAGCGCTGCTCGGCCGGTGAGCGGGGCCCGAGGGGCTGCGTGGGGCCGGGCAGGGTCCCCGTGCCCCCTCCCTGACCTCTGTGCCCCTGGCAGAGCTGTCGGAGTGCCAGGCCAAGCTGCAGGAGCTGACGGGGATGCTGCAGCACCTGGAGGCCCTGCACCGCATCCCCTCGGCCCCGCTCATCGCCGGCAGCCAGGTGAGAGCCGCCGCCAGGTGAGGGAGGGGGTCCCGTGCCCCCCCTCCCTGGGGAGGGTCCGGCTGCAGCCCCCTCCTCTCCCTCACAGCCCTCAGCTGCCACGGAGAGGCCGAAGAAGGGCCGCAGGAGCACCAAGATCTGGTGCACGCAGAGCTTCGCCAAGGACGACACCATCGGCAGGGTGAGGGTGAGCTGGACCCCCCGCGCCGAGCTCTGCCGCCGCCTGGGCACGGAGCCCCCCGGGAGACCCCGCTGAGCCCCGTGTCCCCCCAGGTGGGCCGCCTGCACGGCTCTGTCCCCAACCTGTCCCGCTACCTGGAGGCGTCGCAGAGCCAGCTGCCCTTCAGCGTGCCCCCGGAGTACAGCCAGCTGCAGCGCAGCTTCTGGGTGCTGGCCCAGAAAGGTGTGATGGGGCGGGGGCTGAGCCTGCCCGGGGGTCCCAGGGCGGGTTTTGGGACCCTCAGGCTGACGCCCAGCGTGTCCCCCCGGCAGTGCACGGCTCGCTGAGCAGCGTGGTGGCCGCGCTGGTGGCCGAGAGGACCCGTCTGGAGGAGATGCGGCAGGCGCTGGACCGGCAGTGCCCGGCCCCACGGCCCGGCAGCGCGGGCACCGCGGGGGTGAGGGGGCACGGGGGCCCTGGGGTGCTGCTCTAGGCGTCTCAGCAGGGAGCTGGGGGTCCCCTGTCCCTGCCAGCCCCGCCCTGGCTGGAGGGGACCGGCCGGGGGGGCTCGGCTCAGCCTCGCCCTTCCCACAGCCCGCCCTGCGCCGCTTCCACTCCCTGTCCGTCTCCTCCGACACCACCCTGGACTCCTTTGCCTCGCTGCACCCGGACGAGGTCAGGGGGGTGGGAAGGGGCGGCCTGGGGGTGCCGTGGTCCCCCCGGGGCGGGGGCTGAGCCGGTGGCTGTCCCCGCAGCCGGACGCGCTGCCCGCCAAGGGCCGGGAGCAGCAGCTCTCCAACCGCAGCATCGTCTCGCTGGCCGACTCCCACACCGAGTTCTTCGATGCCTGCGAGGTTTTCCTCTCCGCCAGCTCCTCTGAGAACGAGGTGAGGGGCTTGGGGGGGCTCTGCTGGTGAGGGGGCTGTGCAGGTGGGGGGCTCTGCGGACCCCCCGCCACCCCTCGCTGCTCTGGGTTCATCTGTCCCCTGTCTCTCCCCCGTCCCACCTCATTAGCCGGCCCGAGAGCCGCTCCCCGTGTCCCCCCCACCCCCATGGGGGTCCCACCACATCCCCCCGGGACCCCCGAAGCCGCCGACGGTCCCTGCGCCTCCTCAGCCCTCGGAGGACGAGTCGTGCATCAGCGAGGTCACCAGCAGCGTCTGCGAGGAGGCCGCCGAGCCGGGGGGGCCGGGCCGCCCCCCGACAGGTGCGGGGAGCCCCGGGGAGGGCACCGGGAGGGCACCGGGAGGGTACCGGCGGAGGAGCGGGAAGGGGGAACCGAGGCGGAGGCAGCTCTGCCTGCCGACACGGGAAGGGGAAACGCGGGACGGGGGGAACAGGGGGAAGGGACGGCTCTGCCCCCCCACAGCTGCGGGGAGGGGGCGGCTCCGTCCCACCGCCCGCTGCCCGGCAGGAGCGGAGCGCCCGGGGCTGCCGGCGGAGCCGCCGCCGCTGGAGCCGCCGCTGGAGCTGCCGGGGCCCGACCCGCGGCGGAGGAGCCGCCTGCCCGCGCCCCCCGCGCCCTCGGGGGACGTGAGCCTGTGGGGGCTCCTGCGGAGCAGCGTGGGCAAGGACCTGTCCCGCGTGGCGCTGCCCGTGCAGCTGAACGAGCCGCTGAACACCCTGCAGCGGCTCTGCGAGGAGCTGGAGTACAGCGAGCTGCTGGACAGGGCCAGCCGCGCCCGCGACCCCCGGCAGCGCCTGGTGAGGGGCGGGGGGAGCGGGGACACCGGGGGGAGAGGGGACACTGAGGGGCGAGGACACCGGGGGGAGCGGGAGGGATTGGGGGTTCAAGGTCTCGGGGGGATTGGGGACACGAGGGGGACTTAGGGGAGCTCGGGGGCAGGAGGACACGAGGGACTTTGAGGACAAGGAGGGCACGGGGAGGTCCAGGGGGGCACAGGGGGCTCAGGAGCAAGGGGACATGGCTTGGGGGCACGAAGGACTTTGGGGACAGGGTGGGCATTGGGAGGTTGAGGGCACAGGGCGTGGCGGGGCTCAGGGGACACTGGAAGTTTGGGGGACATGAGGGGACTTGGGGAGTTTGAGGATTTCGGGGAGCCCAAGGATGTGTGGGGACAGGGAGAATTTGGGGATTCTGGGGACCCCGAGATCTTGTGGGGACAGGGAGAATTTGGGGATTTTGGGGACAGGGAGAATTTGGGGATTTTGGGGACACTGGGGACCCTGAGGTTATGTGGGGACAGGGAGAATTTGGGGATTTTGGGGACACTGGAGTCCCCGAGGTCGTGTGGGGACAGGGAGAATTTGAGGGTTTAGTGGGCTCAGAGGTGCTTGAGAGCACACGGGTCTCCTGGGACTTGTGGGAACGGGGGAGGGCACGCGTGTGGCCGTGCCGGGCGTGGTGACAGCGCCGCGGTGGCCATGGTGACGCAGTGACGGGGGTGGCCGTGGTGACACGGTGGTGGGGTGGCTGTGGTGATGAGGTCGTGTGGGGACAGGGAGAATTTGAGGGTTTAGTGGGCTCAGAGGTGCTTGAGAGCACACGGGTCTCCTGGGACTTGTGGGAACGGGGGAGGGCACGCGTGTGGCCGTGCCGGGCGTGGTGACAGCGCCGCGGTGGCTGTGGTGACACGGTGATGGGGTGGCCCTGGTGACGGGGTGGCTGTGGTGATGTGGTGACAAGGTGGCCAGGGTGACGCAGTGACGGGGTGGCCATGGTGACGGGGTGGCCATGGTGACAGGGTGACGGGGTGGCCGTGGTGACACAGTGACGGGGTGGCCCTGGTGACGGGGTGGCTGTGGTGATGTGGTGACGGGGTGGCCGTGGTGACACAGTGACGGGGTGGCCCTGGTGACGGGGTGGCCCTGGTGACACGGTGACAGGGTGGCCAGGGTGACGCAGTGGTGGGGTGGCCATGGTGACCGGGTGGCCGTGGTGACATGGTGACAGGGTGGCCATGGTGACACGGTGACGGGGTGGCCCTGGTGACCGGGTGGCCATGGTGATGGGGTGGCCTTGGTGACGGGGTCGCCGTGGTGATGTGGTGACAAGGTGGCCATGGTGACACGGTGACCGGGTGGCCATGGTGACCGGGTGGCCGTGGTGACACGGTGACGGGGTGGCCGTGGTGACACGGTGACAGGGTGGCCAGGGTGATCCGGTGACGGGGTGGCCGTGGTGACATGGTGACAGGGTGGCCGTGGTGACACGGTGACGGGGTGGCCGTGGTGATGTGGTGACAGGGTGGCCGTGGTGACACAGTCACGGGGTGGCCGTGGTGACACGGTGACGGGGTGGCCCTGGTGACCGGGTGGCCATGGTGATGGGGTGGCCTTGGTGACGGGGTCGCCGTGGTGATGTGGTGCGGGGTGGCCGTGGTGACACGGTGACAGGGTGGCCAGGGTGATGCAGTGACGGGGTGGCCGTGGTGACATGGTGACAGGGTGGCCAGGGTGACGCAGTGGTGGGGTGGCCATGGTGACAGGGTGGCCATAGTGACACGGTGACGGGGTGGCCACGGTGACGGGGTGGCCGTGGTGATGTGGTGACAGGGTGGCCGTGGTGACACAGTCACGGGGTGGCCGTGGTGACACGGTGACGGGGTGGCCCTGGTGACCGGGTGGCCATGGTGATGGGGTGGCCTTGGTGACGGGGTCTGTGGGGACAGGGAGAATTTGAGGGTTTAGTGGGCTCAGAGGTGCTTGAGAGCACACGGGTCTCCTGGGACTTGTGGGAACGGGGGAGGGCACGCGTGTGGCCGTGCCGGGCGTGGTGACAGCGCCGCGGTGGCTGTGGTGACACGGTGATGGGGTGGCCCTGGTGACGGGGTGGCTGTGGTGATGTGGTGACAAGGTGGCCAGGGTGACGCAGTGACGGGGTGGCCATGGTGACGGGGTGGCCATGGTGACAGGGTGACGGGGTGGCCATGGTGACAGGGTGATGGGGTGGCCGTGGTGACACGGTGACGGGGTGGCCATGGTGACACGGTGACGTGGTGGCCATGGTGACATGGTGACGGAGTGGCCGTGGTGACACGGTGACGGGGTGGCCGTGGTGACGGGGTGGCCGTGGTGACATGGTGACAGGGTGGCCAGGGTGACGCAGTGGTGGGGTGGCCATGGTGACAGGGTGGCCATAGTGACACGGTGACGGGGTGGCCACAGTGATGGGGTGGCCGTGGTGACACGGTGGCCGTGGTGACCGGGTGGCCGTGGTGACATGGTGACAGGGTGGCCATGGTGACGGGGTGGCCCTGGTGATGGGGTGGCCGTGGTGACACGGTGACAGGGTGGCCATGGTGACACGGTGACGGGGTGGCCCTGGTGACCGGGTGGCCATGGTGATGGGGTGGCCTTGGTGACGGGGTGGCCGTGGTGACACGGTGACAGGGTGGCCATGGTGACACGGTGACAGGGTGGCCGTGGTGACGGGGTGGCCATGGTGACATGGTGACCGGGTGGCCGTGGTGACACGGTGACGGGGTGGCTGTGGTGACGGGGTGGCCGTGGTGATGTGGTGACAAGGTGGCCATGGTGACACGGTGACCGGGTGGCCGTGGTGACAGGTGTACGTGGCCGCCTTCGCCGTGTCCGCCTACGCCTCCACCTACTACCGGGCGGGCAGCAAGCCCTTCAACCCCGTGCTGGGTGAGACCTACGAGTGCGTGCGGCCCGACCGCGGCTTCCGCTTCATCAGCGAGCAGGTGGGCACCGGGGGGTCCGGGGGGCGCCCCGGGGCCGGGCGGGGCGCTGGCACGTCCCTCCTTGTCCCCCCAGGTGTCCCACCACCCCCCAATCTCCGCCTGCCACGCTGAGTCCGACAACTTTGTCTTCTGGCAAGGTGAGAGCCCGGGAGGGTGTTGGGCGCTGGGAGGGTCCCCCCAGGGCGGGGGGACGGGGGGGTCTCACCTCCTCCTGTTCCTCCTCCTCCAGACATGAGGTGGAAGAACAAATTCTGGGGCAAATCCCTGGAGATCGTCCCCATGGGCACCGTCAATGTCCAGCTGCCCAGGTGAGACCCCCAGCCCCACAGGTGGGCCCCCCCACCTCCGCCCCCGTGGCCCCCTGCCCTCCGTGCCCACCCACGGGGGGGCGGTGCCCGCAGGACCGGGGACCACTACGAGTGGAACAAGGTGACCACGTGCATCCACAACGTGCTGAGCGGGCCGCGCTGGATCGAGCACTACGGGGAGGTGCTGATCCGCAACACCCGCGACGCCTCCTTCCACTGCAAGCTCACCTTCTGCAAGGTGTGCCCCCCGCCCCGCCCCTTCCTGCCCGGGCCACGCCCACCCACTGCCCTGGCCCCGCCCCTCTGCATTATCATGGTCTGGCCCCGCCCCATCACTGACTTGGTAATTAAAGGCTGTGTTGTTGCCCCGCCCTTTGTCTGGCCCCACCCCTCTTTTATGGCTCCACCCCTTGCCAGTAGCCCCGCCCTTTTCCCAGTGACCCCACCCCCTTAGTGCCCCACCCTCTCCCAATTACTCTGTCCATCACTCCTGGCCCCACCCTTTTCCCAGTAGCCCCGCCCTTTACAAATGACCCCACCCATCATAGCCCCACCCCTTCCCAGTGACTCCACCCTTTCTAGAAGCCTCCACCCATCACTCATTGCCCCTCCCTTTTCCAATAGCCACGCCTCTCCCAGCGGCCCCACCCTTTCCCACTAGCCACGCCCCTTTCCAATTACTCCAGCCTTTCCAGAAGATTCCTCCTCATGGCCCCACCCTCTTCCCAAGAGCTCCACCCTTTCCTAGGACCCCACCCTTCCCTAATGACCACACCCTCTCAGAGCCCCGCCCTCTCCCACTGGCCCCACCCCTTCCCCGCTGACCCCCCTAATGACCACACCCTCTCAGAGCCCCGCCCTCTCCCACTGGCCCCACCCCTTCCCCGCCACCGTGGCGGCCCCGCCCCGGCCCCGGTAGCCCCGCTGAGGCTGCGGCGGCCGCAGGCCCGGTACTGGGGCGCGGGGGCCAACGAGGTGCAGGGCGCCGTGCTGAGCCGCAGCGGGACGGCCGTGGAGCGCCTGGCGGGCAAGTGGCACGAGGGGCTGCACCGCGGGCCCGCCCCGGGCCAGTGCGTCTGGAGAGCCAGTAAGGAGCCGGGGACGCCGCCCTGGGGGAGTCACCCCAGCCCGGGAGGGGGGCTCTCACTGTCCCCACGCCCCCCCGCGCAGACCCCATGCCTCGAGACCACGAGAGGAGCTACGGCTTCACGCAGTTCGCGCTGGAGCTGAACGAGCTGACGCCGGAGCTGCGCCGCGTGCTGCCCTCCACGGACACGCGCCTGCGGCCGGACCAGCAGGGCACCCCAAGGCTCAGGGGGGTGTGGGGCTCTCAGGAGGATGCAGGGGTCTTATGGGATGGGGAGACCCTTCCCAGGAGTCTTGAGAGCACCCCGTGGCTCAGGGGAGTGTGGCACTTTCAGGGGGGTGTGGGGCTCTCAGGGAAGGGGGAAAGCCCCCCACGAGAGGCCTGAGGGCACCCCAAGGCTCAGGGGGGTGTGGGGAAAGCCCCCCCATGAGAGGCCACCCCATGGTTCTGGGAGATGTGGGGGATTTAAAGGAATGGCCAGACCCCCTGGAGACCGCGTGGTGCAGAGGGGCATGGGGCTCTCGGGGGGGCGTGGGGCTCTCAGGGAATGGGGAGACCCCCCTGGAAGTCCCAGCCGTGCCCCCCACCCCACGGCCAGGCGTGTGACAGATGCCAGTGGCAAGGAGTCCTGGGTCACCAACCACACCTACTGGAAGCTGCGCCTGGACCCCGGCTTCTCCCACCTGGACAGCGCAGTGCTCTGGTAGCCCCCCCAAACCCGGGGGGTGCCGAGCCCCCCCAGCTCCTCACAGCAGCGGGGCTGGTCCCCCCGGCACTGGGGGTGCAGAACCCCCTCCCCTTTCCGAGCCATTTTGCCGCTGTTTCAGTAAAACTGTGATATCAAAATGGGAGGGGGGCACTGGCAATGCCTCCCCCCGGCCCGGGGCAGAGCCTTGGGGACACCTGAGGCACTTTGGGGCAGGGGCTGGCAGTGCCCCCCTGCCCTGGGGGCACAGGATGATGAGGGGGGGGTTCCGGGGGTCACGGGGTGCCCGCGGGCGGGAAGATCCCCCACAGCCCCCCCCACCCCCCAAAATTGTGCACAGGGGCTGCTCTAATAAAGGCTGTGAAGAGTTGGGGTGTGCAGAGAGATCCCTTCTCCCCCCCCACCATCACCACCCCTGGGGGACTCAGGACCCCCTCCCAAACCAGGCTGGCGATGCACAAGTCCCTCCCACCCCTCCCCGTGCCTCAGTTTCCCTCCCCACACGCACAGAATTGCCCAGCGCCGTGTCCCCCAGTGCCCCCTTTATTGCGATATGCTGCTGCCCCCCGCCCCACACCGGGCACGGGGGGGGGGCTCAATAAATACTTCAGCGTTAACCCCCCTCCCTTAAAAACCACCGACACCAAAAAAAAAACCCTCACCCCCTTTCCCCCCGCCCGTCCCACCCCGCTCGCCCCCGCGGCCCCACCGGGGTGGCACCGGGGGCTGATTGTCGCGCTGAGCCCCCCCCTCTGCTCCAGCCGTCCCAGGATTTGGGGGTGGGGGGCACACAGGACCCTTTCCCACCCGGGTTGGGGGGGCTCTGGCGCCCCGCTCGCCCCCCGCCGTGGCTCAGTTGCCGTAGTAGCCGTAGTAGCCCCCGTCGGGGAGCGGCTCCCGGTCGTAGCCGTCGCCGTTGCGGGGCGGGGAGCAGCTCTCGGTGCTCTCGGGGTACGGCGACACTCTCCGCCGCTTGCACTCGTGCAGCCCCGAGTCCGACGAGTCCCCGGAGGCCGCGGCGGCGGGGGGCTCGCTGGCCCAGCCCTCCATCTCCTTGCCCTTCTCCTCGCGGGGCTCCCGGTACCAGCCCAGAGCCGCGGCGCCGTACTGCCCGGGGCTCCAGCCCCCCGGCACCCCGAAGCCCCCCGGCCCCTCGGGGTAGTAGGGCAGGGGCGGGTGCGGGGCGGGGGGCAGCGCCAGGGGTTTCACCCCGTAGGGCACCAGCTTGCCCCCCCCGTAGCCCCCCTCGTAGCCGCCGTAGTCCAGCGCGCCGGGGCCGGGGGGCTGCTGCGGGGGGAAGAACCAGGGCGGGGGGTCTTTGGGGGGCAGGGGCAGCGCAGCCCCCCGCTCGCCCCCGAAGAAGCGGCCGGGGGGCAGCGGGAGCTGCTCGGGCAGGAAGGGCTGGAAGCGCGGCAGCAGCTGCTGGCAGCCCGGAGCCTCCGGCGGGGACGGGGTCAGGCGGTCGCTCTCCGAGGCCGGGTACATCCTGGGGGGCACACGGTGGGGTTTGGGGGGGCTGCGCCTGGCGGGTGAGGGGAGCCAGGGGGAGGCTCTGGAAATCTGAGGGGATCTGAGGGCACTGAGAGGATTTTGGGATGCTGGAGGGAGCCAGGGGGGATCCAGGGATGCCGAGGGGATGCAGGGGGGGATCCTGGGATGAAGGGGGGATCCTGGGATGCCGAGGGGATGCTGGGCGGATCCCGGGATGAAAGGGGGATCCTGGGATGCTGAGGGGATACAGGGAGGATCCGGGGATGAAGGGGGGGATCCGGGGATGAAGGGGGGATGCAGGGGGGATCCTGGGATGCTGAGGGGACGTTCCTGGGGTCGCAGGGATGCTGCAGACCGGGGTGCCGGCAGACAGGGATGGCCTGGGGGGAGGCCAGGGCGGTTTCCTGAAGCTGAGGACACCCTGGATGTCGCAGGGGGGATTAACGGGGCTGCTCTGGGGCGGTTTTTGGGTCGCTGTGGTGACACTGGGATCTCCTGTCCGGTTTCTGGGAAGGCGCTGGGGGCGTTGCTGGAGTTCTTGTGCTTTTGGGGGATTTTTTTTGGGGGGTGCCGCGCGCTGGGGACTGGCAGGGGGTCTCGCACTCACGTCGGCGTTCTGGTAGGCGGTGACGGCGATGAACTGCGTCTCGGGGAAGGCGAAGGTGTGGGTGTGCGGGGAGGGGTAGCCGTCCTCCCCCTCGCCCTCCTTCACCTCGGTGACGTGCAGCCGCGGCTGGTACTTGTGCAGCGACTGCAGCACGATCATCTGCGGGGGTACAAGGGGACAGCGAGCGGTCGGGAGGGGGGTCACAGCGAGCTGCCACGGCGGCGGGACCCTCCCCTCACCTGGCCGACGTTGTTGGAGGCTCCCTTGTTGTTGGTGAGCTTCAGCTTCCCGAAGGAAACCTCCTGGCGCATCCAGTGCGCGCCCGTGTTGGGCGAGTCGGGGTGCAGGTACAGGCGGTTCCCTGGGGAGGGGGCAGCGGCCGCAGCGTCACCCCCAGCCCGGCAGCGGCGCCAGGGCGAGGACGGCGAGGAAGGGCCCGTACCTGGCATGCTGCCCTCGGCTTTCCCGCACTGCACCCACTTGCCGCCCTGGTAGCGCCAGTGGTGCTGGTCCACCAGAACCACGTCCACGCTGACGCTGTAGTGCGCCGCGGGGTTCAGCCCCGACAGGCTGAAGCTGAGGAAGGGGAACATTCGCCTGGGGAGGGGACACAGGCACAGACACTGTCACCTCCCCCCCCGGCTCCGCCCTTGGCGCGCAGGGCAGTTTGGGGTGGGGGGTGATGGGGAAACTGAGGCAGCGCGGTGCCCACCCCCCCTCCCGGTGCCCTGAGGAGCTGAGTGACCCCGGCAGCTGGGGGAGGCTGTCGGGGCCGATCCCCCCCGCCCCCCCCCGGCCCCGGTATCTTCCTCCCCCTCCCCAAGCACCTTCCGGATCGGAAACCAACACCGCTGCTATTTCGGGCTGGGCGCCAGCCCGCGCCAAGGGCAGGAAGGGGACACGGTGGCACCGGGGGGGACCCGGCAGCTGCCACCCCCGGGCTGCGCCCCGCTGCCCCCCGAGTGTCCCCTCAAACGGCAGCGCTGGGCCGGAGATCGCTGCTCCTGCTTGGGGACACCTCTGCTACTGCTCGGGGACACCTCTGCTCCTGCTTGGGGACACCTCTGCTCCTCCTTGGGGACACCTCTGCTCCTACTTGGGGACACCTCTGCTCCTCCTTGGGGACATCTCTGCTCCTCCTTGGGGACATCTCTGCTCCTCCTTGGGGACATCTCTGCTCCTGCTTGGGGACACCTCTGCTCCTGCTCGGGACATTCTTGCTCCTCCTTGGGGACATCTCTGCTCCTGCTTGGGGACATCTCTGCTCCTGCTCTGCCCCTCGTGCCCAGCACTGGCTGCTCGCCTCAGGCTCCCCAGTATCCCCAGTGTCCCCAGTGTCCCCAGTGTCCCCAGTGTCCCCCGTATCCCCAGTAACACAGCATCCCCAGTATCCCAGGCTCCCCAGTATCCCCAGTGTCCACAGTGTCCCGAGTATCCCGAGTATCCCCAATGTCCCCAGTGTCCCCAGTATCCCCAGTATCCCCAGTGTCCCCAGTGTCCCCAGTATCCCCAGTGTCCCCAGTGTCCCCAGTATCCCCAGTATCCCCAGTGTCCCCACTATCCAGCCCAGCCTGGCAGCGGGGTCTCCCGCCGTGGCTGCGGGCACCGGTTCTGCCCCCCCCGCGTTTCCCAGCCTTGGAATTTTGGCAACTCCTGGAGCTCCGATGGCCGAGCTCCATCATTAGTGTCCCCCCAGTAGTGCCACCCCCGGCAGAAAGCCACCAGCGGCCACCCCTGAAAGCCACACGGGGCGTCCCACCCTCAGGGAATGCTCCCCCCGAATTCCAGAGGGGACAGGGGACCCCCGGGAAAAGGGGGGTCCGGGCCCCCCCCAGGAAGCGGGGCTAGGGCAGCGCCGGGGGAAGAGCAGTGGAAAGAAAAGTCAGAGGGTGGAGGCTGACTCAAAATTGCCCTTGCGAGAGAGTGAGGAATAGAAAAAGAAAGAGAAGAAAAAGGAAAAATAGAAAGAGAAAGAAAAAAATGTGAAGAAAAGAAAGAAAGAAAAAAAAAACAGAAGAAAAAAGAAAATTAAGATTAAGAAAAAGCAGGGGGAGGAAGGAAGAGAAAATAGAAAAAGAAGAAGAAAAAGGAAGAGAAAAATGAAAAGAATCAGGAGGAGAAGAGAAAGAAGGAGAAGATAAAGACTAAAAACAAGAATACGAAAATAGTAAAAATAAGAATAAAAAGAAGATAAAGAAAACGATAAAGAAAAAGATAAAGAAAACGATAAAGCAAAAGATACAGATAAGAAGAGAAGTAAAAAGAGAAAGAGGCGGAGAAGGCAGCGGCCGTGGCGAGGAGCTGCCCGGGCTCGGCACCGAGGCTGGCCCCGAGCATCCCGGGTCCCCCCGAGCCCCCGCGGACCCCTCGGTGTCCCCGGAGGAGCCACCCCCGCGGGCCCACATCTCTGCACGGGGAGGGGGTTCCAGCGGCTGATAAAAAATCTCATTAAAAACCAGCCGGGAGCCGCCGCAGCTCCGAGCCGAGCCGAGCCGGGCTCCGGCTGCTGCAGCGGCCCGAGCTCTGCAAGGAGCACAGAGGAAGAAAGCAGCTTTTTTGGGGGCTGGTTTTTGGGGTTTTTCTGCCCTTGGCTCCCACAGCGCGCTCCCCGGCGCTGCCGGCGGCGCTCGCACGCTGCCGCTGCCGCGGGGAAACCGCACGGGCCGGGCCGGGCACGGAGGGCGGGGGCAAGCCCCGAAACCGCGCTCGCCTCGCTTTTATTTTTAACCCCCCCCCGGGAGCCCGGGCAGGACCCGGCTCCCCCCGGGCCGGGCACGGCGGTTTGGGGGGTGCCAACCCCCCCCAAAGGCGGGTGGGCACCGCCCGCGGTTCCGCGCCCTCGGGGTTTGTCCCGGTGGGAACCGCGCGGAGCTGGGGACAGCGCGGGGACACGGGGACACGGGGACACGGGGAGGGTGGCCAGCTGGGCTCCAACCCCCCCGGCAGAGGAGCCTCCCCAGCCCCCCGCCCCCGGCAGGCACGGGGGGCTGCGGCTTCCTGAGCCTCCTCTTTTCCTCCTCCTCCTCCTCCTCCTCCTCCCCCGGCGGCAGCGCGGGGACCGCAGGAGCCACCGGGGCCGCGTGGGACAGGGGACAGGGGACAGGGGACAGCCCCCGCTGCACGGGGCACAGGGTGACACGGCGTGGTGGCACGGCAGTGCATGGCACGGTGACATGGAATGGTGACACACCAGTGCATGGCACAGTGACATGCAACAGTGGGGACACAGCAATGCGTGGCACGGTGACATGCAACAGTGGGGACACAGCAATGCGTGGCACGGTGACATGCAACAGTGGGGACACACCAGTGCATGGCACAGTGACATGCAACAGTGGGGACACACCAGTGCCCCATGGCGACATGGTGCATGGCATGGTGACATGGCAGGGTGACATGGCACGGTGACACGGCACAGCGGTGACACACCAGTGCATGGCACGGTGACACGCCATGGCTGTTGGACTCAGCACGGTGGCACAGCTGGACAGGTCCCGGTGACACGCGGTGACACGGCAGGGCCGCGTGGCACGGCACATCTGCACAGCACAGCTGCACTGCCCGTCCGGGTGACAGGGCACAGCGAAATGTCACAGCGCAGCAGGACACGGTGACAAGTCACAACATGTCTGCACCAACCCCGCCGAGCTGCCACCGGGCACTGCCTGTCCCCAGCCCTGCCAGCCGGGACAGCCACCCCCAGTGTCCCCAGAGCCATCCCCAGTGTCCCCAGAGCCACACCCCGTGTCCCCAGAGCCATCCCCAGTGTCCCCAGAGCCATCCCCAGTGTCCCCAGAGCCACACCCCATGTCCCCAGAGCCACCCCCCGTGTCCCCAAAAGGCTCTGCCAGCTCTGGGGTCCCTCCTCCTGCACAGTCATCCCTCAAATCGAAGCCACCTGTCGGACTTTGTGTCCCCAAAGCCACCCCAGCGTCCTCTCCGAAGGCAAAGCCATCCCTTGTGTCCCCAAAGCCATCCCTTGTGTCCCCAAACGCAGGCAGAGCCCCTGCACCCCCCAAAGGCAGCGCTGAGCCTCCCCCAAGTGCCGGGACAGCCCTTCTGTGTCCCCAGTGACAGGGACAGCCCCTCGTGTCCCCTCGGGATGCAAAGCCAGCCCCTGCGCCACCCCAAAGTGCAGTGCCAGACTCTGTGTCACCCCAAGGGCAGTGCCAGCCCCGGTGTCACCCCAGGGGCAGTGCCAGTCCCGGTGCCACGCCAGGGGCAGTGTCACCCCAGGGGCAGTTCCAGCCCCGGTGTCACCCCAAGGGCAGTGTCACCCCAGGGGCAGTGTCACCCCAGGGGCAGTGCCAGCCCCGGTGTCACCCCAGGGGCAGTGTCACCCCAGGGGCAGTGCCAGCCCCTGTGCCACCCCAAAGTGCAGTGCCAGACTCTGTCACCCCAAAGGGCAGTGCCAGCCCCGGTGTCACCCCAGGGGCAGTGCCAGTCCCGGTGCCACCCCAGGGGCAGTGTCACCCCAGGGGCAGTTCCAGCCCCGGTGTCACCCCAAGGGCAGTGTCACCCCAGGGACAGTGTCACCCCAGGGGCAGTGTCACCCCAGGGGCAGTGCCAGCCCCGGCAGGAACCCCCCGTGCCCGGCGCTGCCAGGTGCCCGCGAGTCCTTGGGGGTTTCCGCAGGAATCCTGCCCTGCCCAGCCCCCAGAGCCGCGGGGACACCGCGGGGACAGGGACAGGGACGGTTGGGGTGGGGTGGCCCAGGACAGGGCTCAGGATGGCCCGGGACAGCAGGACCAGGGTGAATCCCAGTGCCCGGGCAGCTCTCCCCCAGTGCCACCGTGTCCCCCCCATCCTCAACCCTCCCCGGGGGTCCACGGGGGGCTGCACCCCTCAGAGGCGAGGGACGGGGCTGCAGAGCCCGCCGGGGATGGGATCGGGCTCCCTGCCCTGCCCCAGAGCCCCCCAGGCGGCCGGTGGCCGTTTTGGGGTGCAGGTCCCGGTTCGGGTGCCCGTTTGGGGCTCCCGTCGCCCCCGAGCCCCGCTGGGGTTTTTCCTGTCCCCGCGGCGCTGCGGCGGCAGCTCGGGGCGGGGGGAAGCGGATGTTCTGTGGCTCGGCTTTGACGCTCTCCACGGGCTGAGCCCCCCCTGCACAGAGCAACCCCCCCAGCCCGCAGCCCCTCCACGCTGGGGGATGGAGATGGGAAAAAAACCCTCAAAATCGGCGGTTTGGGGCTGGGAGATGAAAGCAGAGGTGCAGGGGGGCAGGGGGGGGTGGGGAATGCGGGACCACCCCAATTTCCAGCCCCTCAGCACGGGCTCCTGACCCCGCAGGGAGGGCGCAGGGAAAGAGAGGAGAAAACGAGGAAAAAAAAGGTGAATTTCAGCACATTCCCGCAAGGCCTGAGGGGTGGCGGGTGACAAACAGCAATTTGGGGTGCCGGCCCCCCCCGCCACCCCCCGGGGACGTGCCACCCCCTCCGTGCCGGGCTCGGGGCCGTGGCAAACCAAGCGGCCCTAACGAGTTTAGACTTCCAGCACATCCAGCAGGTCGGGCTCAGCATCGAAGTGACACCGCGTGTCCCCCGGCCGAGGGGCAGCCAGGGACCCCTGGGCGCGGGGACGGGGCTGGCAGGGGGGGCACGAGGGGCTGGGGGGGGTCCGTGCCAGCCGCCGAGGGCACGGCGGGGGGGGGCAGCCCTGTTCCCCTTGGCACGGGGGTTTGGGGGACCCTCGGGGTGATGAGGTGGCTCCGAGCCGTGTGTGACCCCTGCCGTGATCCCATGGCCAGTGAGACCCCAAAGTGCAGCCCAGGGTGGGGTTCTCCTCCTCCTCCTCCTCATCCTCACCACCCCAGAGCGGGGCTGAAGGACGGGTTTAGCGTTTAGGGGGCTCCCCTTGCCCCGAGTCCTGGAGACTCCACATCCAGCGCCCCCAAACCGGGGTTTGGCAGCCCCCCCAAAAATCCCCCAGCCCCGGGAACCCAGCCCAGCACGGAGGGGACGGCGGGTGCTCGGCTGTGGTGTCACCAAAAGCGTTTTTGGCGGCCAGGACGGGGCCAAAACGCTGCCCCTTCCCCTTCCCTGGCCGCAGGGGGGGCAGCCGGGCTCTGCTGAGCCCCGCGGGGGTTTCCACCCCTCGGAGGGGACCGGGAGCGGGCGGGGTGTCGCCGCGGAGCTGGGGGGTGGCAGCAGCTCCTCCCCACTTGTTGCAGCGCCGAGCTGCGGATCCGGCCCGTGGGCTGGGGCCGGATCCGAGCTGCCTGCAGGGCCCTGGCAGCGCCACCGCCTCTGCCCTTGTGACACCGAGGGTCCGGACCCCCCTGTCCCTCCCTGACTCAGGTGGGGACACCCCCAGACCCTTCTCTCCTTCCCACAAGCCTCAGCTCCCCAAGGAAACAACACCAGGGGGCGGCTGGGGTGTTTTGCCTCCCCCTCCCAGGCTTTTCTTGAAACCCACGAGGGGACGGGGGTCCCCGCTGGCACCCCCAGCTCCACGAACACCTCCCACCCTTGCAGCCCCCTGGGGAGACGGGGCCGGACCCCTCAGCCCCTCACCGTGCCAGCCCCCGGGGTCTGTCCCACCCCGTCACCGCTGTGTCCCCACCCCCGCACCCCCGGTGCCCACACCGGACCCCCGGTGCCGGTGGCGCTGCCGGTGTCTTGTCGAGGTGCCCCCGTCCCCCCGGTGTTCTCATGTCCCCCTCGGTGTCGCCACCTCGTCCCCTCCGGTGCCTCACGCTCCCTGTCCCCGCACGCCCCGGTCCCCCCGATCCCCGTCCCAGTCCCCTCCAGTCCCTCCCAGTGCCCCGCCGCCTCCCAGCCCCGCTCGCCCCGGTGCTCCCGGCTCTCCCGGAGCCCCCCCGGTGCCCCCGGCTCTCCCGGAGCCCCCCGGTGCCCCCGGCTCACCTGCCCTGTTTGGTGATGATCATCTCGGTCTGGTGCTTGTGGAACTTGGCCCACAGCGGGTAATTGTTGAGCATCACCTGCAGCTTCCCGGCGGCCCGGTACCCGGGCAGGGCACAGAGCGGGGGGCACAGCGGGCCCCCCCCGCCGCCGAAACCGCCCTCGGTGCCCGCGTAGCCTTCCACGGGCGCGGCGGGAGGCGGCGGCGCCCGGTAGGGCGGGCACGGCCCCAGGAACCGGCCGCCGAAGCCGCCGGGAGCGCCGTAAGGGAGCGGGGGGGCTCCCGGTTCCGGTCCCCCTCCATCACCGAAGAAAGCGGCGGCGGCGGCGTCCCGGGGGCCCGGGGGTTCCTTGGCGAAGCTGGCGGCGGCGCCGAGCATGGGGGCGGCGGCCCGGGGGGCTCCGGTGCCCGGCTCCAGCGCGCCCATGGACGGGCGGGGGGCGCCGGCCCCGCTCAGCCGCTCATGGGGGGTCCCCGCCGGGGGTCCCCGGGACGCGGCTCCGGTCAGCGCTGCCCTCCCGGCCGGGCTCCCGCCGCCCCCTCCATGCCCGGTGGTACCGGGGGGGCCCCGAGCGGCGGCGGCCCGGGGACAGCCGAGAGGGAGCGGGGGTAAAAAAAAAACAACCCCTGAAAAATACCCTAAAACAGCCGGAAAAACCCCAAAAGCGCCGAGCGGGGCTCCGGTGGCGGGGCCGGTGCCTCGCTCGCTCCTCCTGCCCGTCCCGGGCCCCGCGCCTCTTATCCAAAGAAGCGGCTCCGCTCCCCGAGCTCCGCCCCGCGCCCCCTCCCCACCCCCAGCGGGGAGGGGACAGGGAGGGGACACCGCGGGGACCGCCACGCCGGGGAGCCGGGGACGGCACCGGGGACACGTGGAGGGGACGGGGACAGGGGTGGGGACAGTGTGGGGACAGAGGGACAAGGGGGGGTCACGCTGCTGCCCCTGCTTTGGGGCTCTGGGGGACACCGGGAAGGGACAGTTCGGGTCCCCCCCTGCTCTGGTGTCACTGGGGGGGGTGACACGCCTGAGGGGTGGCGCTGGGGGCTCGGCTCCTTCTGGCCCCCCTGCCCTGCTCTGTTTTGGGGTGGTCTGAGATTCCAGGGAAGCTCAGCCAAGCCGTGCCACCCCCGTGCCCTGTCCCGTGCCACCCCCGAGGCCAGGCCTTCCCGGCACCTGTCCTTGACCCCGCGGTGCCCGGGGAAGTCCCGCTGTCCCCTGTCCCCACCACCGAGTGGCCGCTCCCCCGGCGGGTGGCCAGCCCGGCTCCCGTCGATAGTTTCCATTCCCAGGGCCCCGGTGACACCCCCACGGCGCTCACAGGGATGGTGGCACTGCCACTGTCCCCCCTCCTGGCAGCTGGGCTCCTTCCCCACGCCTGGGGACCCCCCCGGAGCTGGGGGGGGGGGAAGGGAGGGAAAGGGGGACCCCTGGGTGGGGACCGAGCCCACAGCGGGACCCCCGGGATCAGGGCATGGGTGTGAACCCCCGGGGACAGTGGGATGGGGACAGGGGACAGGGGACAGGGGTGGGGACAGGGGACAGGGATGGGGATAGAGATAGGGACAAGGGACAGGACTGAGGACACGGATGGGAACAGGGGACAGGGATGGGGACAAGGGACAGGGGACAGGAATGGGGACAGTAATGGGGGTGGGGAAAGAAATGGGAATGGGGACAGGGATGGGGACAAGGGACAGGACTGGGGACAGGGGTAGGGATGGGGACAGGACTGGAGAACACGGATGAGGATGACAGAGGTGGAGATGGGGACAGAGATGAGGACAAGGGACAGGGATGGGGACAAGGGACAGGACTGGGGACAGGGGTAGGGATGGGGACAGGACTGGAGAACACGGATGAGGATGACAGAGGTGGAGATGGGGACAGAGATGAGGATGGGGACAGGGGTGAGGAGGTGGCCCGGGATGGGGACGGGTCAGTCACAGGGACGGGTTGAGGATATGACCCGGGATGGGGACGGGTCAGTCACAGGGACAGGGTGAGGATGAGGATGGGGCCGGCGCTGTTCCTCCCCCGCTGGGGGCGGGAGGAAATGGCGAGTTAAGGATGCGCAGGGCGGCCCTGGGGGGGGACGGAGGCAGGACGGGACCCCCGGCTCCCCGCGGGGAGGGGGCCGGGCGCGGGGGTGTCCCGGGTTGTGTACCGGCCCAGCGGCCACTCGGGCCGGCCTTGCAGCGCTGCCATTGTCCGGAGGGGTCCCGGCCTTCAATCTCTATGCAAAGCCCCCCCTGCTGACCCCCACCGCCCCCTCCCCACACTTTTCCGGCTCCCTGAGGCTGACGGTGGGGACAGCATCCCCCCGTTCTGCTGTCCCCACCCTCCCGGGGCACCCCCAGACCACCAGGGCGCTGCCACCCCCTCCCCACCACCGAGCAGGGACCCCCACGCCGCGTTCCCGAGCGAGAAAAAGAAGGAAAACAAGGAAATTTCCAGAATTTTTTTTTTCCTAGGAGGGAAAATAAAGACCGGAGGGCGGTTAAGGATGGGGGGGAGCGACTCATTAACGGGGGGGGGGG